GGATGTAGTCATCCGCAGTTTAGCGGCGCTTTAAAGCCAAGTTTTTTCATAACATCAAAGTTTACTATTTATTGAGTACTCGATGTGAGAGTTTGTATACAGTATTAGATTTCATGACATGAATCACCTGTACTTGTACTGTGTTTTCAGTGACTAAACAATCAACTTTATGGCAGTAATAATACCTGTGTTAGCAATACCTGACATAACGGTACTGTCAGTCAGTCATACGTTTGTGTAACAATGCCTGCACTGGGAGTCCAATACATGATTAGCATTAGTGCGCAAACATATTGATTGTGTGAATCAGTGCTCAAACTCTCGCTTTAATTGTATTGTATTTGCATTGCATTGACGCCCAACTCATCCCTAAGACATCACTCACACCACAATCACACACACTATCACTTGTGTTGTTGTGGTTGTTGTGCCGCCAATGTCTTCACCAAACTCTTGCATGTGATCCCATTGTGATCCCATATGACCACAAAACACATCACTTCTCATCAAGTTTAACCAAACAGTGGAGTGAGTGGTGGACACCGGGAGGCCATGGATTTACACCTCGTGTTGGCCTACATTTTCATCAAATTCATTCTTCCACTAGTTCTGGGAACAGGTAATCACCGGTTCATTAGCTCACAATTAGTTTAGTAAGATATTAAAATCACATGAATGGCCACAATGTGTGCCACTTATGGCATAAGTGTTGTGGTGTTTACAGTGATTGCAATACATATGTCACTAACAATCCAAACAACACTTGATTTACGAGTTTCTAAATAAACACTAAAACCGAAACTTCACTCTTTATTTCAGCCGTTATTTTCCGACAAAACCTCTTTTCATTCATCTATTTATTACTTCTTCTGTTGGGACCCATTCTTCCGAAGCCAAGTGCCAAAAGTGTACTCAAAGGTAACCACTGTTTCCACTGTTTTGCTTATGTTTGCCATTTAATACACATTCATTAGACGATTAAAATAGTTGTTACAAAACTTTTTTTGAATACATGAGTCCAAAAAGGTGCCAAAATACAGTACAATAAGTACATGAAACTATTGTTTCAATACTTTGCTCTACTTTTGTGTGCTTTTCAAATCTATTTACAATTATTTAATTCATTCATTTTATTTAATCTATAAAAACTTATTTATATTTTGCTATCTCTTGGAGAAAGTATTAACCATTAAACAAATTAATATATAAATTATTAGTTTATATGTTTTTATAAGTTTATAATCAGTTTTATCGTATGAATACATACCAAGTGAATTATTTATGAAGGATATTTTATTAACATTTTTATTTAATTTTTAGCAAGTAAGCTAGTGAGCTAGCTCTTAATATCAATATCATGAAAACAATTATTAATTTGTTTAATTTATAAACAATTAATATCAATTTTATAAGTTATAAAATATAACATAATATGTTTAACAAAATATATAAATTTAATATAATAAAAATAATACAATTTTTATTACTACAGTATTTAATTAGTTTATAATTTATCATTGATCTATGTTTTGATGATTAAATTAAATTTGAAGTTTATTTTTGTTTGTTTATCTTATGTATACTATATGTATGATAACTAGCGTTAAAAGTTGACTAAACTAAAAATTAAATAGAATTTAGAAAGAAGTGTTTTTTCTATTTATATTTATGAATGTATTATTAAATTTAAAGAGAAATTTTATGTACAATCTAATTTATAAATTTAGAAATTAAATCAGACATACGACAGGCACAAACAATTAATATTAAGAATTTTAAAAAATAATATTTCTAAATGACAATTTTCACATTTATTAATATTTTTAAAGCAAATACAATTTTTACAATAATAATTTTAATTTGCAATTATATTAGTTTTTAATCCATTTAATAATTATTATAACTATTCACAAGATATATTTAAAAATAATACACAATGTGTTATTTTAATCCAATACTTATTTATTAAACCAATTTACTGATTATACTAAAATTTATTTGAATGGATTAATAGGATGTATCGGCTATTATGTGAAAGTTGTAATAGTAACAAGTTTTCTAATAAGTGTGGCTCAAATTAGTTTCCAAATCATATTATTCGCTGCTTTTGACAATTACGGAGAATCTTTCGATTATTGTAAGTTTGAATCGCTATTAACGCAAACATTATTTAATATATTCTTATGGTTTGTTTGATTCAACTGTAAGGCGAACCCAATGGAGAACTCTATACATTCATAGGTCTCCATCGGTTCAACGGTGTGTCCGTTTGGGCTGTTTTAAGATTATGTGGTCTCGACTTCTGTGTACTCATAGCCTCGGGTGCTATTCATCTGTTCATTAAAGATGTATATATCCGTCAATTGCAAGCGGAGAGAGAGCGCCAAGAATTGGCTAAAGAGCAAGAAGTCAAACGATTGGAACGCATGGAGAGAAGGGAGCGGAGGATGACTGAGGCCGGACTCAGCGCTGTCTCCGTCAATATCAACACCAAAGCTATGGAAGACAAGTATAAGAAGAAGTTGAGGGCACAGAAAACGTCGGCCTTATTCACGGCAATCATAACCGAAACCATATTCTTAGTGCTCTTATGCTGTGCCGCTGTCCTCAACCCATCCGCCAGTTCTGCCTTTTATTTCATATATTTCTTATGGATCGCCAGTTGGCTCTCATTGAACCGTTCGCTGGGATCAGGTTATCATTATTGTCGANACTCATGTATTCAAAAAAAGTTTTGTAACAACTATTTTAATCGTCTAATGAATGTGTATTAAATGGCAAACATAAGCAAAACAGTGGAAACAGTGGTTACCTTTGAGTACACTTTTGGCACTTGGCTTCGGAAGAATGGGTCCCAACAGAAGAAGTAATAAATAGATGAATGAAAAGAGGTTTTGTCGGAAAATAACGGCTGAAATAAAGAGTGAAGTTTCGGTTTTTAGTGTTTATTTAGAAACTCGTAAATCAAGTGTTGTTTGGATTGTTAGTGACATATGTATTGCAATCACTGTAAACATCACAACACTTATGCCATAAGTGGCACACATTGTGGCCATTCATGTGATCCTAATATCTTACTAAACTAATTGTGAGCTAATGAACCGGTGATTACCTGTTCCCAGAACTAGTGGAAGAATGAATTTGATGAAAATATAGGCCAACACGAGGTGTAAATCCATGGCCTCCCGGTGTCCACCACTCACTCCACTGTTTGGTTAAACTTGATGAGAAGTGATGTATTTTGTGGTCATATGAGATGACAATGGGATCACATGCAAGAGTTTGGTGAAGACATTGGTGGCACAACAACCACAACAACACCAGTGATAGTGTGTGTGATTGTGGTGTTCGTGATGTCTTAGGGATGAGTTGGGCGTCAATGTAATGCAAATACAATACAATTAAAGCGAGAGTTTGAGCACTGATTCACACAATCAATATGTTTGCGCACTAATGCTAATCATGTATTGGACTCCCAGTGCAGGCATTGTTACACAGAGGTATGACTGACTGACAGTACCGTTATGTCAGGTATTACTAACACAGGTATTATTACTGCCATAAAGTTGATTGTTTAGTCACTGAAAACACAGTACAAGTACATGTGATTCATGTCATGAAATCTAATACTGTATACAAACTCTCACATCGAGTACTCAATAAATAGTAAACTTTGATGTTATGAAAAAACTTGGCTTTAAAGCGCCGCTAAACTGCGGATGACTACATCCNAACACAGTACAAGTACATGTGATTCATGTCATGAAATCTAATACTGTATACAAACTCTCACATCGAGTACTCAATAAATAGTAAACTTTGATGTTATGAAAAAACTTGGCTTTAAAGCGCCGCTAAACTGCGGATGACTACATCCATGGGATGTTCAAATAGTTATGATATGGAGGTCTCTATGGGAGTGAATGCAAACTTGTGTACAGATTTGTTGATGTCATGCCGCAAACGCTAAATATTTTTATTCATATGTATTTATAGGGGTATGAAATGTGAGGGTAGTCTGTATTGCATGCAATTCATTACTATTTATACCTGTACTGTACTATAGTTGCTATAAATTATGCAACAAATCATACATTAATGACATTTTTGACACTTTACTGTACAATGACTACAAGATTGTGATGATAACAACACTGATACGATTGTTTTGAACTAATTATCCACAAATGTTGTTGTGATGAATAAATTCGAGTTTTATTTGTATCAATTAAATAAGTTTTATTGAGTTTCAGATAATTCAGAAATTATAATAATTTTAGCAAAGGCAATTTTACCGTAGGATTAACATGGAATATTGAGTATATTTTAAGCAATTTTCCCATAGGAATAACACTAGAGAAATTAGCTATATTAATTTGTTAACAAGTAAATGCACAATGTGAGTGAGTGAGTGAGTGAGAGAGAGAGAGAGAGAGAGGGAGGGAGAGCACAAAACAAAAAATATAAGACTTTCTACTGTACTAAAAATGCATCCTTTGGTGGAAAGATTGGTGAATATAAACTACTTTTGCCTTTCCTTTCCTTCGCTTTCAGAACATATCGTTGAGTTATTATAGAAAATGTGTTTCTTATAAAAAGTTCTCTCAAAGTGGTATTTATTGGTTTATTTATCTTTAAAATTCCTAGAATTGATGACAAAATAAAATTTTTCTCAACTAATTTTTTCTGACACCCATCCATCGTATGCCCAATTTTATCCAGACATGAGGGGAACGGTAGATATACTTGTCCATCAATAGCTAAAAACTAGTAGATATAATTAAATTCTGATTTAGGGAAATTGTGCGCAAGGTCAAAATGAAATAACTAATTTCTGGATTTATCGAAATTTTGTATTATTGATTTTAAAAAATTATTTATTTGTGAATATTTAACAGTTTGAAATTAATTAACCTCAGCTCAATGGATCTGGGTGATGTCAACTTTGTCCGAATTGTCTTTCAAAATACTAAAAAATTATTTGCTTGCACCAATTCTATATCATATCTATTACACAGAATATTCTATTCTAGAAATAAGTTTTCTCTGTGTATTTATTTTATACCTATTTTATTGCTTACAGTGTAAACTTTACACCTTTACCTGCAATTTTAAAATATACAGTTTGTTTTTAGAATAGAATATTCTGTGTAATACAGTAGATACCAGTACACTGTACTGAGTACAGTGTTGGTGCAAATAATTTAATACAGTATTTCGAAAGACAATTCGGACAAAGCTGAGATTTGCCCTGAACCATTGAGTATTTGCTGAGGTTAATGAATTTCAAATGATCAAATATTGACAAATAAATAATTTTAAAAAAAGAATGCGGCACAATTTGCCACAAATCGAGAAACTGACTGCAATACAATTGGTGATTGGGGTCTCACGGGTAAAGTGATACTCACCAAAAGTGACCGTTTTCAACATGAAGTTATGGGACATTCTTATGAGACACGACTTGGTGGTGTTGGAGGTAATTAAAAAATATTTAGTCACTCGGTTTACCTCAATAATAGTGACGGACATCAGTGGTCGTCCGCAGTCCAGATTCTAGAAGACTGTATCTCTATGTACTGGTGTTTATGAATAGGCTTACAGTGTGTTTACATAAGCATAGAGTTTCTCATATGATATATACAGGTATATTATAATTGGCACTAATATTACGTGATATTGTGATTACGGTATAATAAATGTCTAAACAATGCATATATTGAATGGCGTTTCATATGAAAGTCATTGAAAACTATAACTTATTGACAATTGATTGCAAATCACACAACAAGTGCTAACAGTAATCAGTTGATCATAGATTGGCCACAATTGGCAACGAATGATGAGATGGTGGACAAAGTGTGAGTGAATGGGTTGAATGGGTGATGATTGGATCAAATTGACATGATTTGTATGTTTAGGTTAAACCTATTGACAGTGAAAGGAGACAGAGTTTGTAACATAAGTCTGTCACCCGATTACCAGACCTTCCGCAGCAATATATGCCTCAAGAAGATCATTGTGGACGACGACTCGTCCAAAGTGTGGTCACTGTATGACTGCGGCCCCAAGAACGTGGTCTGTCCGCTCATATGTCTGCCACCAGTCAGTGGAACCGCTGATGTATTCTTCCGACAACTCATGGACTTGTCATCGAAGGGCTATCGAGTGATTGCCGCCGAATATCCCATCTATTGGTCGCTCAGGGAATTCATCAATGGTTTCAGCAAACTCTTAGATCACCTCAACTTCGAGAGGGTCCACGTATTGGGCGCTTCTTTGGGCGGATTCTTGGCCCAGAAGTTCGCCGAAAGCAGTCATCAAAGTCGACGCATTCACTCACTCTTTCTGGTCAATAGTTTTGCAGACACTTCGGTCTTCAATCACACCGATTCAGCCGTCATGTCAGCCATTCATTGCTTTGTCTTGTATTCATAATTGTCTTAATTATACGACTCTTGTGTCCATTAGGTTTTGGATGACTCCCACCACTCTCCTTAAGAAATTAGTGATGGGAAGCAGTTCTATGCAAACCAATTCCACGGATCAATCCATATTAGATGCCATTGAGTTTATGGCTCAAAAATTAGACACTTTATCACAACCAGAGTTGGCGTCAAGACTTACTCTCAATTGTCTCAACTGTTATGTCGAACCACAGAGACTGCAGAAGTTAGACATAACTCTATTGGATGTAAGCATTAATTGATTGCTTTTATTCACTTAATTATGAGTGTATTGTCTTTGGATGAGGTCTTCGATCACTGCGCTCTGAGTCAATCAGTTCGCGACGAGTTATACAAACTATATCCCGACGCCCGAAGAGCTCATCTCAAGACTGGCGGCAATTTCCCGTACCTGAGCCGGTGGGAGGACGTGGATATGCACCTCACCATCCATTTGAGACAATTCCAAAACACCAAATATGCGGCCGCTTCCGAGCAAATAGAAGTGGGAACTCCTGTAATGGACGACTCCCTACAGACTGAACTGCTCTTTGAGTGATCATACGCTCAACCAATGGCTCATTCAATGATTGGCTATTTATTTAAGTGTCAAAAACAGTGATATTTAACATGTTTTGATATTTTTTATTATAATTCTAGAAATATTTTAATACAAATACAGTTATGTGTTATAACATTAAGTGATTGAGATTTATATGACAAATGTATTGCCAATAAAAGCAATTAGTGGGTCAACACATGTCTGCCCCTCAGGATCCGTCTCATGACTATATTGCGTCCCTTTGGTGTGGATATGCGTGCAATCCATCCGTGTTTACGGATTCTCTTCACTTCGGAGGGCTTCTCGAAAAACCAGCGCACGTTATGCCGCACTCCTCCCAATTGGACACATTGTCCCCATTGTCCACACTGTCCCGGATGACCACTCCTCAGCACCAGTTGTGCTACTCGTGTCCACCCATTCGCCAGTAAAGACATTGTCGCCAAAGAGTCACCACTGGAGTCGATGGTCGTGTCGTCTATGCGTTTGTTATCAAACAAACCCTCAAATGATTGTCTCGTTTGGGACTCAAAGCACTTACGTCTCACTCAATGGTCGCAACAATTGGACAACAATTGAATTGATTTGGTCTTGAATTTGATGCTCATTGCAGTGAACGCTCACATCAATGTCATCAATGTCTGCACACAAGTGGTTGTCTTGGCAATCAATCAATGGCTGCAATTGTCAGTTGAACATCCAATTGATCACCAAATGAGTGACACATAATTCATGTAAACACCGTGTATTTGATGTCATATTTGAGAGATAACCACAAATAGGTGTCCATGAAGTGAGTGAAGTGCCATTTGAACCGAAGAGTAATCAATTGATGGAAATCGTGAGGAATGAGTCCAAAGACCGATTCAATATACTTCACGCCAAGTACTTGAAGCGATGTCTGGATCTGTTGCCGCCCTCTTTGGCCACTCTCGATGTCAGCCGGTATTCACCACTCAAGACATCACTATTTAGCTGAACTCTTGACTCATTTATTATGATTGTCTTCAGCTTAACCATAGCGTTCTTCGCCATCTCAGGACTCGATCTCTTGGATTGTCTTCATTTAATTGAAGCCCAAAAGCAGGACATAATTGAATGGATCTATTCGTTGCAGATATTGGTCACAAAAAGTGTTTGAAAAATGAATGTTTTATTTGAATTGATTTCTAAAGTAATGATTATTTCAGCGGAAGGGGAGGAAAGGGGTCGACACGGGTTTCGAGGTTCTGGAGCCAATGGTGTGGACAATCCATACGATTGTGGTAACCTTGCGATGACATACTGTGCCCTCTCATCGCTGCTAATACTCGGCGATGACCTGAAACGGGTCGACAAAAAGGCTATCATTAATGGCTTAAGAGAGCATCAGTTGAGTGATGGCAGGTATGGTATGGCATGAGTGGAGTCGATGTGAATCTCATGACTGAATGGTTGGTGTTTTTGGTGACAGTTTTGTTCCCGTAATCTATGAGAAGGAAAATGATATGCGATTTGTTTACTGCGCGACAACCGTCTCGTATATCCTGAACGACTGGTCAGCCATTGACCGCCAAAAGACCATTTCGTTTATTAGGAATAGTTTGGTTGGTATTGACACGAGTGTTGTGGTTATGAGTGAACTAATTGTAGGCCTATTGTGTGAACAGAGCTACGAGTGTGGGTTCGGTCAGTCGCCTGGTCTCGAGAGTCACGGCGGGTCCACGTATTGCGCTTTGGCTGCACTCACGCTGATGGACGAGTTGTCTGCGTTGAGTGACAGACAATTGGCTTCCATGAAGAGGTGGTGTCTTTTGAGACAAACCAATGGCTTTCAGGGCCGACCCAATAAAGACGCCGACACTTGCTATTCATTTTGGTTGGGAGGGGCTCTCAAACTCATCGATGGCTTCCAGTTAATGAACACAGAATCCAATACTTCCTTCATATTAGAGACTCAGGACATGATTACTGGAGGACTCGCCAAATATCCCGATTCTATTCCAGGTTTGTATTGCCTTCATATGACTAACTTATAGTATTATAACAGAATAAACGAGAATTAAACTCCAAGTTTCTCTTAAATCAAAGATCCAATGCATACATACCTGGGCTTAAGTGCTTTGGCGTTGAATCCAAATAAGAATTCACTGCTTTCAGTGAATCCAGCGCTCAATATTAGCGAAAGAGCTGTTCAACACTTAAATCAATTGCACTCTCAATGGAGAGATAATTAGATTATTACAAAATCATAATTCTTAAAAGTTTTATACAATTTATCGAAAGTATTTTTAGATTTATTGATTTTTTGTATCTATTTATATATTGTTTGATAAGAAGTAGTTTGTTATTGAAATAAATTCTTAATGTTGTCATATGTTTATAATGAATGATTAAAATATTAAATTATTTCTGTAATATTATTGATATCATATATTATATTATACAATATCCGTTACGATTGTTACAATGCTTTAGTCATTGATGATTTTATACCGTATGATCTAAATGGATTTCTAATCAATATATTGGGCGCAACTAATTTAAGACAAATAATGGTCTCTAACATTGTGTTGAATTTAATTGAATTGGGCTTAAATGGGATATATTGACCGCTATCGGAGGTACTGTAAGTGCTGTCTGTAACCACAACTTGTAGCACACAAGTTGTAGGTTGACTCCATTGAATATGAAAATCTAATAAAATGAGTTGATGGCCATATTCTATTAGTTAAGTATCTTGATATTTACCGTATTTTTTAATGAGTAAAATTTGTTTTATAAATATTTTGTATAAATATTGATTGAATGATACGTGTCATCAAAGTCTTTGATTCAAAGAGTGTGGATATGAATTCAAATGATATATTGTTGACAAATTGAAACAAGATTGCTATTTACAAAAGTTTGGCACAACAACATTTAGATAACACTCAAATCATACAACTTATTCTTAAATTTCAACAAATATAATTAGCACTTCTAACTAATTAAAGTCTAATAAAAGCAATTCCTGTTTCTAAATAATTTAAATAAATTTAAAAATTTAATTAGTAATTAATTACATTTATCAAAAAAATGCCAATATATTATAATTTATAAATATTGAATGGTTTATCTCTCTAATCTCCAATTTTATAATAATAAACTTTAGATTCTTTACTCAACAAAACTTGAACACAATACACTTATATATTAATTTATATAAATTTATATAATATACAGTAGTTTAATACTTTTGTAATATTTGTAATGATAACTAATATACAGATTTCAATACTCTTTAGTCTTTCTAAAAATCTATTGTCAAAAAACTTTTGGTTAAGAAGAGTATAAGGAAAGTCTTAAATTATATGATGTCTTAATACTATTAAGTTAATAGTATGAATATAGAATTTGCTTATACGGCATTTGTGACCCTTAGTTGAGATACTTTACAGTATATTATACACTAAACAGATGTGTGTTTAAAAGTTATCATGTTTAAAAATCTAATTTAAATTCTTGTACTCAGAATATTGATAATTAATTGGAAACATTTGTAATACTCACATAGGTATAAATTAGGTGAGCTAAACATACTGTTAACTATTAAGTTACTGTCCTCTAATTTCTAATAAGGAAAATATAATGAAATGTTAAATAAATGTTAAGATATGTTATACGAGTTTTGATGAAACATTCATTTTTGAAAACTGAACCAAAATATATGAAAAGTATATGAAATGATTCCTCTAATTTCTAATAAGGAAAATATAATGAAATGTTAAATAAATGTTAAGATATGTTATACGAATTTTGATGAAACATTCATTTTTGAAAACTGAACCAAAATATATGAAAAGTATATGAAATGAAGTGAATGTCAATTAATGGATAGCAAATGGATAGCAAATGGATATTGGTATTGATGTTTGCATTGCACTGTAATGAATACAGCACTGTAATACTGTAGTGTATCCCTTATTTTAATGTATTGTACAGTAGGGCAGAGATGTTTAAAAGCTATACAGAGTAGTGTATACCTTAGTGCCTGTCCTTGACTTTTACCTGAAACTGCGTTTTCAGAGTACGTGTCGTACATCTCAATGACGTTAATGCCTTTCAGAGCATTTCATTGCAGATAAATCTATTAGACATGAGATTCTGTGCGCGTATTGAATGTCGACATACATAACAGTATACACCAGAGTATGACTACAGTATGACTACAGTATGACTACTATTCTGTCTATAATATTAATACCTGTTGGTGTGTTGCAAAACACTAACCTAATACTAAACCAATGCTTATGCTTATGCTAGTACTTATGCTTATGCGCCGACAATTTTTACAAATCAAGTTTATTATGTGTTTTCAATGCTTACACTAAACACATCTGAATTTATTATAAAATGAATAAAACTTTCAATTATTTCTTGTGCTGACCTTCAAGTCATTTTCGATGGCTTTGATCTCAACCTAAAGACAATATTCGGTCACAATTTAATTCATTCCCATTCCCAACAATACCTTTTGTATTATATTTGTTAATATATTGGTTTAGTATAGTAGACAGAATTCTAGTACTGTATGCTTTAATAGTTATACAAAACTAAAACTAACAAATTGTCAAATTGTTGTTTTACCAAATGATTGAATGGTAGGACTAATGATACAAACTATATAACATTTGTTTGTGTCAAAAGTCACTTTCAGACTATTCTCTTAAAACAAACCTAAAGTAAAGCAAACCATACAATAAATGCTAATTCAAACACACTTTCCTTAGTTTTCAGGGAAACATTTAAAAATAATATCTATATTTCAAAAATGTAAATGAGTGAGGTTTAAAATTTTACTGCAAAAATATAAATTCAGATTTATTTTGAAAACAAGTAATTTTTGTAATTACATCTCTGAGTTTAATTTGAATATAAGGTATAGCTGGGTGCCAATTAAGTATCCGGTACCATGTTCAAATACTTTTTAAAATTAAGTGTAATAATATTTTAATTATTTGAAAACTCATAAAATTTATTAAAATAATAAAATTAAACTAAAAATAAAATTGAATATATGCATATGTTATAATTAAAATTTGAACATAATCAGCAACACAAATTTTTGTAAATTTAAAAAGTAATTTTGAAGTAAACAAAATATTAAATAAAATATTTCATATTAAATAAAATGACATGTAAGCTGATTAGTCAAATAAATAATTGTCTAGCTGCTATTAAATTTGTTAGTAATTTAAAAACAAATAAATTTTAAAATATCTTATAATTAACATTAATTAAGAAAACAGTGAATTTAATAACTAACTAATGATAACTAATAAACTGATATTAGGATTATTCCGGAATACAATGTATACAAAATAAATGAAATTTATTTGCAATAAAAATGTTTTGCTGCGAGAATTTGATAGAATATTCTAATGTAGAGAATGTGACCAAAAGTGAATTGAATTTTATTAAATTGTTTTGAATGAAATTAATATTTAAGAGTCGCACGAATTGGCAATAAATTGAATCGAAAATATAGTCTTTCCTCTTATGAGGGAACAGATCTTCGCGGCTAAAGACGTATTGAATGACGTATTGGTTTCTATGGTTTAGACCTCCTTTTCGTAACATTACATCCATTGCAAGAATCTGACAAATAATGAATTCCCGAAAAGAATCGCTTAATTGTGTTGAGTTTAAAATCACGGAATCGGTTATATTGTAATCAATAATCGTAAGAGGAATCCAAGATTAATAACAATCTGTGTATAAAGTGATAAAATAATCGCCAGAATATAAGTGTTGGAAGTGTTTGAATGGTTAGCGATTGTTTGCGTTGGAAATGCAAATCCCAGTCAATGGGCGGCAACATAGCGTCGATGTGAAACACTAGTGCCGTATACTGTACTGTGGCGTACGATATAGTGTATAGTGTATAATGTATGGAGTAGTGTGTGATTGTGAGCCTAAGTCTGATGTATCCAAAAATAACACAAACTGGTAAGTTATGTTATGCTATGTTATGTTCTATTTTTAAACCGGTCAACAAAAATAGATTTCATTCATACACAGCACTAACCGATTCCCATTACTTTTACCATTACTTATTATTCACTATTATTAAATTTATGAGTATCACTATGTAGTGGATAACCAGTTAATCTAGTGGTTAACGTATCGTTCAATCCCGCATATATATTAGATGTCTTATTTACCAATCAATCTCTTTCTCTCTCAATATTTCTCTCATATTTAATGTTATTCTCATTGCAATTGTGTGCAATTTCTAAGTTTATTATTTTCTTATATTTCTAATATTCTCTTATATTCTAGTTTTAAGCTAAATAATATATGCTAGGCTAAAATATTTGATGCTAGCTAATAATTATTATATACTGTACGTATGCTATGTTGTCTTTCGAAGTCATATTTTAATGGCAATCAAAATAATGATAAATAAAATATAATAATATTTAGTGAATATAACTCATGATAGTATATAATCGCATAAAAACTAAATAAATGTAAAACGTTTGTATTTCTGGCCAATACTTCTCTCAACTCATATCAACTGTTTTTCTCAATTTATTATCATTTGTTATCTCTATGTATGAAGAGATAAATTATTGACAAAACAGTTAAATAAGTTTTATATGAAATAAATGCTTACAATATTACAATATTGGTATAGAAGCGTTTTTATTTACAAAAATGTATTTTATATTCATTTCAGTATAAATGACTTAAAATTAATTTTTCATTTTGATTTCATGTATGATTTAAATGGTTAGCATTATAAGAGACGGTAGTATTGAAGTGGAGTCAACTAAATAACTAAATTGATTTCAATGCAAACTTGTTTATTCATTGTATCGCTAATACTAATAATAATAATTCACTTGATTTCAAGTATATTTGCTGTACTTCTCTGTCCTTCATATGTAGTTATCTAAGTATAAGAGAGAAGTTTACAGTAAACTTAAATTTCACCAAAAATCTCATGTTTTGCATTAAAAATTATTTTTTCAAATCACTTTTCAAATACGAGTCAAAATATGAATTTAGAGGTAAAATATAGGGTTATATACGAGTTGTATAGATATTTGTGCAGCTCTTATTAGGTGCACATATGTGAGGGACAGGTGTTGTCCACTATTTTTGTTTACTACCAAAGCAAATGTGTTTTTCCTATTTTTTGCTTCAAAACTCCACTCAAACCCAAAGGGATATACTTTTATACTTTTATTACAATATTCTTATTCTTATTGTTAGTTCAGTAGTTCAGTGGCTGTCAGAGTAGTCCGACCCCCGACTCCCTATCACTACAGCATTGAGGCCTTGAATCTGCTTTTATGGCTTCATATGCACTGTACGTACGTTTAGCTCACAGAATCCAAATCCAAACTATTGTAAAACTTAAACTAATTTCTACTTTTCCCTGCTTTTTATCGTTTTCCAGAAATCCATTAAAAGCTAAAAACATTGAAATCTCTCATAAGTTCTCCGCTTTTAAATCAATTGTCTCTCAAATGTCACACAAATGTATGATGTTTTAGAAATAGTCACCAAAATGCACTCAATAAATAGTGAAAATCTAATTAAGCCTATTTTTAGTTGTACCACTAGATTGTAGTCTATATTCATATATAATTGAATTGAATATTTAATAAATGATTTGATTTAACAATTGAAATGCAATTCATATGAATGTACAATCATTTAGAGTACAATCTATTGAACACTTCATTGCAAACACACTGTCAGTACATATGAACATAAATGATGTCTCTTCTCACGTGACATCCACTCATATATTCTGTCGATTCTGCAGAATATCATACAAATGAAGACATCAATGAAACCATTCTTATCACTGAAATCCATCTCAATTTAAAGTACATTTCTCACTTAACTCATCAACTCATTGATCTCCTATATTTAACAAATCATTAATATTTTATGTTTTAGTTTGTTGTTGCTGAATATCACTATTAAATTGTGATCATTTATCATGGTACACTTTGTTTGGCATTAATATACAGAGTAATATAAGTTATTCCTTAAACATAAAATATATACTAGTACAATTTGAATGTATTTTAATTATGAGAACTTGTTAATCTAATATAATTGTTTTAAAATAGTATTGTAAATATAATTGAAAATACAAATTGTATATGAGTCTGATACGATTAACCAATAATTTGTTGACTTAACAAAGATTTCATGTCTGAGTGTTGATTCAATTAGCATATGATTACTGAATTCATGAATCCTGTACTCATAGTCTTTATCAAAGCCTAACAGTGTTTTTAGTGAAAACCTTTCAATGTTATTGAATGCTCGATGACTTCATAGAGGTTTTGGTATACTTTTTCCATTGAATCATTTATTGTCTTTCAAATAGTTTTCACTTATATGAGTGCTGTAATGATAAAGGAATTTATGATATGATAACACTGCACAGGAGTTGCCGGCTAACAAAACATGTCTCTAAAACAGCAATCAATGGGTCCCACAGTTGTCTGTCTGGACTCAACAGACATCACACACTGACAACCTGAGTCCAAACTGTACTTAACTTACTTGTTAGTGACCCCTAAACAATATTTATTGTTACTTCTGAATCAATAGTTGATATTAATTGATAATTGATTAATTGATATGAAATAATTGAATTTTAATAATTGAATAACTATTTTAAAAATCTCTTCAATTGAATTGAGATGCAAAGAGCGGACCATTGAATGCAATCTCATACAGTATGTCAGCATTGAATCCAATGTCATGTTAGAGAGAACTTCTATTTTATGAGAAGTTTGTGTATCCATTGCCACCCAATAGTGGTCGCCCTCTTTCCTATGAATCGGTCGCTGAGCTATAAAGCCTAAGAGTATACTGTCGGTGAAAATTGAGCTAGAACAGTATAGTTTAGTTACGGTATATTAGTTTAAATAAAATAGCCAGCATAAATATTTACACTTTATATTTAGATTACACGACTTTTGCAACTATGAATATTACTGTAGTTGAAATATCTTATTTAATAAGACTTATTATATTGTATTTTGTATTATTAATAAATGAAATATTTACTATAATTAATTATATCCTTAACATTAATTATACAATTAAACTATAAAGTGATATTAAGACAATAAATACGATAATATACAAGACAACTCTTATGGCGCCTCCTTAGTACAAATATACTTGTACATATATGTCGATTGTCTTAAACGTTATGTCAACCCTATGTCACTACACGTGAAGATATATTAATTTAGAAAACAAGTTGTATAATATCTAGATAACTAGATAAATAGTAGTAATAATAGTATATTTTTAATTGAGTTTTTACTCAATACTTTAAAATAATAATAATAATTGTAATATTCAGAGTATTGAATGTTTAAATAAGTTCAATATAAAGATTGATGAAAATAATATTTGTCTTAATATTTCATATAATATGAGCTGGGGACAATCATAGTAACGTTAGCTTTTTTATATTTATTATATCTAATTATTAATTTTATCCAAAAGTCGTGTAATCTAAATATAAAGTGTAAATATTTATNATTATTAATTTTATCCAAAAGTCAATTATTCATAAAATATACATAGGTTTAAGCTAAACGAGTAGTACTATGACTTATCAGGTTAAAATATTACTGGATTTTAAAGTATTAATAAAAATATCTAACGTTACTATGATTGTCCCCAGCTCATATTATATATTACAGTAATATTAATCATAAATTGATTAAATTATAAAAATATCAGTTTTATATTTTTGGTATAAAATTAATATTTGTTGACGACATTTCTTAATAGGATATTAATTGTCTTATATTTAGACATAATTTATTCATTGCAGCAATTATTAGATTTTGATTGAATTTGGTTATTGGTTACTGACTAATGAAAGAGTTTACTAAAATATTAAATTATTTTATATTAATGATTAAAAATTAAGTTTAAAATAATTGAGATATTGTGGTCATCTATGGATAATAGAGAGAATCACATGAAATGCAGTGAAAGCACTGCTTCCTATAAGTTGTCTATTAAATTGATGTGAAATACATGTAAACACGAGTAGAATATTCTTGAGATGAGTGTTATATAAACAGAGAGATAGAGAGCCAACAGAGCGTTATTCACATGGAGTTAGCGTTGATTTGTTTGCGTCATATCGTGGTTAACGTCACACGAGTACCAAAAATAGCACAGTTTGCCACTCTATTATATTCTATACTACAGTATAGCACTAACTATAACCAAATATCATGTATAGTACAGTAATATACGCTACACTCCCATCACTCCCATCACTCCCATCACTACACCGAACATCACATCTTCAACACCGATCTCTTATACTGTACTCCACTTTATTCACTATTTGGTACACTTTTCACACTCAAACCGCACCCTCAATACAAATGTCCTTCTCATCGCATACAGAGTATAATCTCTGGTCTATTTCACATCAATTCATGACAATTATTACACTTTCATATTAATATCAAATTAAATATTACTGTATACAGGTAGAAATGTTTTCATGATTATTTTATAAAATGAGACAAACTCGAGTTTGGATTAAAATAACACCAAGATGACCG